CCAAGGTTTCATGTCGAAAGAACTTAAGATTTCAAACAAGAAGCTAGAACTTGAGATGACCTGAACATGGAGTTAGAGCGGGAAATGAAAGATCCACGGGAGAGAACCGTAAGGTAAATCCCGCCTAAGGGCGGACTACGTCACTAACGGAACCGGGACGGGAGGGGCGGGCAGATGAAAGCCATATGCGCCGAGACACCCGGGTTTCCGCCTGGCGAGGTGCCTGGGCTGCGGGCGCCAGGGGACGTGTCCGGGGTCTGGGGCTGGGACGTGGAGCCGCGGGGGGCGGGGGGCAGAGGCCGGGCTGGGGTTAGGGAGGAGGGGGACTAACCAGGTACTGAGAGGAGGGCGGGCAGCGGGCACCCGGAGCGACGCCCTCCGCCTGGGCAGCGCTGAGCCAGCTGGCCCTACCGCCCACCCGCCTCCCGCACCCAAAGGCAGGCGCTTCCCTCCGACGCCGCGGTGCTGGCGCCGGTCTTTTGCGTCCTCACCCCCGAGCTCCACGCAGACACCCCTCCCTGCCAGGGGACTGACTTCTGACCCGCTTTGTTTCCTCCCAGGTCCGGTTCCGGAGCTGACATGATCGAAGTAGTGGCAGAGCTGAGCCGGGGTCCTGTGTTCCTGGCGGGGGAGGCGCTGGAGTGTGTGGTGACGGTCACCAACCCGCTGCCCCCCACGGCCACCTCGGCATCCAGGTGGGAGTGCTGGCCCTGAGGTGGTCCTCTGGCAGGAAGCCTGGTGTCTGCAGTGCGAAGCCAGAGCCCAGGTTGTCCTGCAGCGACACCGCCACCTTCCTGCGCATTGTGCTGTCATTGGAGCAGCGACTGTTTATCCGATGGGGTTGGCATAGCTCTCCACTCTGCCGTCCTCCCTCCTCCCCCATTCCCTTTTACCCACAGTGCACTTCTCTATTTAATGGTCTCTTTTTCTTTTTATTGAGCTTATTGGTTAATAAAATCATGTAGGTTTCAAGTATACAGTTCTATAATATCGTCTGTATATGTACAGTGTGCTCACTACCCAAAGGCAGGTCTCCTTCTGTCACCATTTATCCCCTCTTTGCCCTCTTCTACCTTCCCCACCCCCCTCTCCCTTCTGGTAATAATGGTTTCCTTTTGGGGTCCTGATTTCCTGGCCCTAAGACAGAACCTAACCATGTTGGTCTCTAGACAGTGTGGTAGGGCATTTGGGAGAGCTCTGGTGAGGTCAGGAACTCCCCTGATGCCTCCTTTACTTCCTCCCACAGTGAGGCTCTGGCCTGGGCCAGTGCACAGATCCACTGCCAGTTCCATGCCAGTGAGAGTCGAGTCGCACTGCCTCCCCCAGACTCCAACCAGCCAGATGTTCAGCCTGAGAGCCAGACTGTCTTTCTACCACACCGAGGTTAGAGATGGGCAGTTGCCTTTGGTGGGAATGGGGCAATTGTCTCTGAAGGTGGAATTTTTAAGTTGTTCCGGCGGGTCATTATAGTCTCCGTGACTTGGGGATGTGGGGGTTTCAGCTGTTGCTTTGGGGATGTAAGACTGTTGCTATCTCACAACAGGAAAAGAGGGATAGCTTACTGTGAGCTGTCATTTGTTGGCAGTGCTTACTGCCCCCACTTGATATGCTAGCCTCGTCCAGTACTGGACAATGGGGTCATTAAACTGCAGTCTTTATCTTTTTTAGGTGAGAGGGGTCAGTGTATCCTTTCCACTCCACCAAAAATCCTATTCTGTGACCTGAGGCTAGAACCAGGGGAGTCCAAATCATGTAAGTGACTGTCTCCCACCCCTTCTGAGATTCCCGGAGGGAGGACTTCTCTGGCTGCCTCTCGCTGCCCTGACTACTACTTCCCAACCAGACTCCTACAGCGAAGTGCTGCCCATAGAGGGACCACCCTCCTTCCGAGGTCAGTCAGTTAAGTATGTCTACAAATTGACCATTGGCTGCCAGCGTGTCAACTCACCCATCACACTACTCAGGGTCCCTCTGAGGGTTCTTGTGCTGACTGGTAAGTAAGGGTTCCTGGAGGGAAGGGCTAGGGAAGAGGCTCACCAAAGCAGAAATGGGGTTAGAGAGCTGTGAGAGGGGCTGGAGGGAAGCTTCCTGGTCTTAGGGCAGGTGCGAGGGGGTTGTAGAGGGTGGGCTCTGGAGAAGAGGTTTAGATGTGTACCCCAGCCATGTCTCCTCTGACCTGCAGCCCTCTCAGGTTGGGGTCCACTCTTACCTAACTTCTACTCTTACCTCTGTTCCCTCCCAGCACTACTTCTCTGTTCATTTTCTTTCCAGGCCTTCAGGATGTCCGGTTTCCCCAGGATGAGGCTGTAGCCCCATCCAGTCCATTCTTGGAGGAGGATGAAGGGGGGAAGAAGGATTCATGGCTAGCTGAGCTGGCTGGGGAGCGCCTCATGGCTGCCACATCCTGCCGCAGCCTCCGTGAGAATCCTTTCAAGATTGTCCCACCCCCTCCTCCCCTCCTGTCTCAGCGGCAAGTTCTCCTAACTGCCACATGCTTCTGAGGATCCACTAATCCCTCACCCAGATTATAAAGAAAAGCCCCCCATTTTGGCTTCTGGCTCCAAGTCCTAGACATTCTCCAGTGTGGACTCCAGGCTTACAGTGTCCTATTTCCCCAGATCTATACAATATCAGTGATGGCCGAGGAAAAGTTGGGACATTTGGCATCTTCAAATCTGTATACAGACTTGGCGAGGACGTGGTGGGAACCTTAAACTTAGGGGAAGGAACTGTAGCTTGTTTGCAGGTGAGAAGGGAGAGGGGCTGATGGGACGCTGGGCCTGAAGGGCTAGGGTAGCAGAAGGGCCTGCATAAAGAGGGGTGGTATGTATAGTGGAGAGTGGGGTCTCTGGTAAAGCAGGCTGAGGCTGGGCTGCCCTCTCACCTAGAGTCGGCAGTTCCCAGTGCCTGCTAGCACACACTGTTCTTGCTCCCAGTTTTCAGTAAGTTTGCAGACCGAGGAGCGTGTACAGCCAGAGTACCAGCGGCGCCGCGGGGCAGGGGGTGCCCCCTCTGTGTCCCATGTGACTCATGCCCGACACCAGGAGTCCTGCCTCCATACAACCAGAACCAGCTTCTCCCTCCCCATCCCTCTCAGCTCCACCCCAGGCTTCTGCACTGCCATTGGTGAGACCCTGACCATTATCGGAGGTGGGGAGAAAGCAAAATACTGTCCTTAGGTACAATGTAATGGATCCTGATTCTTAACATTCGGACACACATCCAGTTTCTGACCCTTAGCACTCTATTAGATCTTCAACCTGTTTCCTAGATGCACTGACCCCTACACGCTTAACAGCTTTGGAGCTCTTCTTCCCTACCCATTCTCAGGGGGACCTGTGATTCACTGATCGCTGATTCCCGAGCCCCTTTAACTTTAGGCTATCACATCTTGACTGTCTCACATTTGGGCTGTTAGAGTCTTGACATTGCTGTCCTTATTGTCACATTCTGGTTAACACACTAGATTACTTTGAAAAACCCCTTGATCCTAGCTCCCTGTCCTGTGATTTCTCCCCCTCCTCCCAAATACAGGTTTTTGCTAATTTGCTAACCATACCCCGTCATTGGCTTTTAATTCTAGCTTCTAATGCCTCTGTCTATGTCTTTTTTCCAGTGTCCCTGAAGTGGCGATTGCATTTTGAATTTGTAACATCCCGAGAACCAGGTTTGGTGCTCCTACCTCCTATGGAACAGCCCGAGCCTGTCACCTGGACAGGGCCTGAGCAGGTGCCTGTAGACACCTTCAGCTGGGACCTCCCCATCAAGGTGCTGCCCACAAGCCCGACCCTGGCCTCATATGCAGCCCCAGGCCCCAGTACCAGCACCATAACCATCTGAAACTGGCCCACCACAGCACTACTTTCTTCAGGATCCTGAGAACTCGGCACCTGGACTCTAGTAGGGCCCGTTTTTTCCACCTGGGGCCCAATGACACGGACAATGAGAAGCAGGCTTTCAGCTGTAGCATTAATTTATTTATTCAGAATAAATTGGCAGCTGCTAGTGGTTTCCCTGGAAGTGGCAGCAGCAGTGGGCAGTCAGCAGAAGGGTGATCAGTTGAGTTTAGCCGGAGTGGGGAGCAGGAGCCCCAGGCACAGGGGTATTAGCCGAGCCCCACTCTGGGTCAGGCCCTCCTCCTTTGCAGGGCAGCCGAGGGTCAGATTTTTGTACCAGGGAGAATTGGCAGGTTCCTGCCTCCTGTCGTACCTCACACTCAGCAGGGAAGTCGATGGGATGCTGGGACCTGGGGACCCAAAGGATGGGGAAGGAGTCAGCACAGTGAAGGGCCACCTTTCCCTCCCCACATTCCCTTTCTCCCAGCAGTCCTCCCAGATCTTCCCCTGGTGCCCCTTTGGTCCCCCTAACTAAATTCTCACCTACCATAGTTGGATTTTTTTCGTTTCATAGCAGCAATATTTTCCTTCTCGATCCACCCCTACCTCCCTCACTTTGTAGCCTGAAGCTTTCTCTCTCACACTCTTGTTACCTTCAGGTTTGGTCAGCCTCATACTGCTATTCTGTTCATTCTAACATGACAGAATGTTATGTCTAGTCGTGCCCTGGCCATCTCTCCCATCAGAGCCATTCTCTCTGGCCATTTCTGGTCACTCACGTGTCACAGCAGCCCACTCCGACAGGATGCAGGCAGGTGCAGTGGAAGCAGTCCTTGCGGAGCCAAGACTCACCCAGAGTAAAATATTTCCCTTCATAGTGGCAGGGGGCTGGGGAAGAAGAGGAAATGTTAGTGTATCGGGGAGCAGTGGCGGCAGAAAGAATCATCCTGGAGCAGGAGAGAGCTACGGGCACACTCTCCCCATAGTTAGTCTTTCCTTTTTTGAGTGACCCCGGATCATCTCTAAGCCCCGCTCCAACCAGTGAATGCCCTCTGCTCCTTTTCCTTTCCCAATGCCTCACCCGGCGTTACCTTGAGCTTGGAAGTAGCATTTGCTGTGGACTCCTGGGTGCTGAAGGAGCAGAGATATCACCACGCAGATGATCCTCCAGCCTCCCAGGATCCCCTTAGCCTGTCCAGCCCAGAACATCCTTAGGGCCATTTCTGGAGCACAGCCCTTTCGGACCCTCTTGGCTTCTGGTCAGGCTACTCCGGTCTTGTCTCCTTGGCTCTTCTTCGTTTCTCTCCTCGAGTCTTAGTGTCTGTCTTTTCCCCTGGGCTCCTGTCTCACACCATCTCCGTGCCCTCTGCTCTCACAGGCTTGGAGATGTTTATAAAGTGAGGACCCTGGCCCCCTGCTGAGTAGAGCTGGAAAAGCTGTAACTCTGTTTCCTGGGGTGAGGGCATGAAAACAAGAGGTCCAGCTTTAACAAGCTGTGAGAGCTGATTCATGCCCCTGCACAGCTAGGGGGAGGGAGGTGGCCATGGAGGGGGCACTGGACTGGGCACTCCCCCAGCAAGGAGGTGGGAGGGGTGCGGGCCCCCAGGTGGTCCCCAGATCTCTGACCTGGAGAGAAGGAAGCATTCCACCATCTCCCACCCCACCCCACCCCACCCCACCATACCACACACACTCTCTCCAGGGGTGGATGTGCTGGGATCCCTGCCTGGACCGGAGGGAGGCATTTCCTGGGGATGGCTAATCCTGTGCCCCAGCCAAACCCAGGAGCTGCTGTAGGGTGCGACGGCCAGAGGCTCCAGGAGAGCAAACAGGCACCTGGAGTGGAGACTGTTTCTCTCAGACCCCAGGGCAGGGTCTCCCTGAAGTATCCTAGAGACATGGCTCCCCTGAGATGGGGGTCAGGGGGTAGGTTGTCTCTTTTCCACAGGCATCCAGAGATGGGCTCTCCATTGTTCATCACCCAAACATATAGCAGATACGCCATCTCCCCGTCTGGATGGTTTTTCAGAGGGACGTTTCCTCCAAATGCTCTAACGTAGGAGTCGCCTGTTTCCCAGAGGTGCCCCCCTCTCCTGTATGTTATGGAGGGAGGATTTAGGAATTTACCCCTTGACATACTCTTCTGGGTTTCCTGCAGGTTGTGGAGAACCCGAGATGGGTGATTAAGAGCAAAGGTTGCAGAGTCAGACTACTTGGATTCAGATCCTGACTCCACTTAAGAGCTATGTGACTTTTGGCAAGTTACTTCACCTCTCTAAACCTGTTTCCTTATCTATAAATTGGGATGGTACTACTCGTAGGGTTGCTAAGAATAATAAATGAGATCATGCATGTTATCTGTCCCCAGCACATAGCCCTCAGAAAATATTAGCTACTGAGGTTGGCGCTAGAGCTCAAAAACAAAATGGGTAGATATTCCTTTTAATGACATTGAGCTCTGCTGTCTCCAGGCATAGACTCATGTCCCTTTCACACTCATGCTCCATATCATCCCTACCACCTCCTTTAAAAACTACCTCCAGGAGCATTTTGGTTTTTGGTTTTGGTTTTTGTATCTTTGAAATTCTAAGTGTTTGGTTTGAGCAACGGTGTTGCTGATAAAACTGTTTTCCCTAGGCCAGTACCCTCACTTCTACCCTGGGAAGAGAGATTTTCTTATCCTACCAGCGCACTTAGTACTGCTTTTTCTTATGGATTTTGTTCCATTTCTTCCCATCCTCACTCATGCAAACTCACGTTCTCCTTTCTGATCACTCTAATGCTGGCCATCTCTTTGGTACCAATGTCCTCTGGCTAAACTGGATTTCTTTCACTTTTCTACATGCCACAGGCTCCTATTCCAGGGAGTCCCCTCCTGCCGACAGGGCCAGTCACTTTGGCCTGGATTTTATTTTTCCATCCAAGTCTCTAGTCCCATTTACCCCGAGACTCCTTGTCACCCAGTGGGTCAGATACAGCTACTCTGGCTGACTTCTGTAGAAGGTTACCCTGCCTCTCCGCTCTTCACTATTCAGAAGCAACTCATCAGTCCACCTCAGACTCCCTATCTGTCCTCTTCCAAGGAGACAGCTTAAGTGGAAGGAGATGCAGACTGTACCACACTTTCACCCTCGTCAGGGCTGATAGCCTTTTCCACGTTAAAGGAGTGCCGAGAGAGAGAAGGAACCTCATGGCTGAAGCAGGTGCTCTGATGTAGGCTGGCGTGTGGGAGGCATGGCCTTGGGACTGCTCTGTTGGGCTGGGAGCAGGTGGATTAGGGAAGCCTGTCTACCACAAGGGACCAGCAGGCCTGGTTCGTGGTCACTAGCTCTGCTGCTGCCTTTCTGTGTGAGGGACACTAGCTGACACCTGAGGTCTGGATCATGGACTACCTTCTGCTCCTGCAGCCTGGAGCCAGCCTAGTAGGGGCGACACTAGTGGAGAGCTAGAGAGCATGCAGGTGGTGGCGGTGATGCTGGGAGGCGAAGGGGCCCAGTGGGGATTGGCATTGATGGGGGGCATGGCGACAGAAGTGAGAACTGCCTGTAATGAAGGTGAGGTAGGAGTAGGGGGCTCCTGGGAAGAAAGGCTGGGGCTGAGCCAAGATCCCTCTCCCAGAGTCGGGGAGTGGCGGGAAGGTGTCGGTTGAATCCATTTGCATGTCTATTGGTGTGTGTGCGTGCGCATCTGTGTAGGTTCTTGGGGCTGGAGGCCCAGCTTTTGAGGGTGTGTGTGTGTGTGTAGGAGTGTTAGTTATTAGGGCTCAACCCCGTGATTCCTGATTCCTGCGGCCTCCGAGATGCCAGTTGAGGGGGCGCCTCGGTTGGCGCGCGGGGGCGTTTGGCGCGCGCCGCCAGCGCGGGGGACAGAAAACATCCGCCGGAGGCCCGGCCGGGGCAGCGCTCCAGCAGCACCGGGCAGGTGCGCGGTGAGGAAGTGAGCGCATTCCGGCCCCCCAGCCGCCGGCCAGCCCTCGGGTGAGTCACCGCTGACCCCCACCGCCTTGGCCGGATAGGAAGGATTGGCTGCGGCCGCGGGGAGGTTTGGGGAACCGGAGTTCCAGAGGGGTGGCTGCGGGGAGCACCTGGAGGGTGATGGAAGCACCCGAGAGAGTTGGGGAGCGGCGAGGGGGTGCTGAACGTCCAGGTTCTGGTTCCGCCCCAGGTGGGAAAGACCTAATAGAGGCCGAGTGCAGAGCTTGTGCCTGAGTGGAGCAGGCGGGAACGAGCCCCTGGGAGAACGTCCTGGATCAGGGAGAAGGCCCTCACGTGGGGAGGGAAAGGGGCCCGGGCAAATCGGAGAATCCGAGTCCGGGAGGCCCAGAAAGGGAGGGAGGGTTGCAGCGCAATGAGGACGGGCGGGCGAGTTGCGGGACGACACCTCGCCAGTGTAGGCCTTGGCCAGCCAGAGCCTGTAGGTGGAAGGAGACTGCCATGTCAGGTAGGCAGGTGGGGATGGCCAACCCCTAGAGCGAGAAGGTCGGTCAGGAGGCCTGTGCACTTAGGGAGTGGGGGGAGTTAAGGTTATTTGGGTACAGTTGTGGCTAGATCCTGAAAGGCTTTGAAAGGCTTTAAACACACACACACACACGCACATTTTTATTGATTTCAGAGAGGAAGGGAGAGGGAGAGGGAGAGAGAGAGAGGAACATCAATGATGAGAGAGAATCACTGATTGGCATGTGCACCTACCAGAAATCCAAAGGTGACCTGGTTCATAGGTCAATGCTCGACCACTGAGCCAGGCCAGCCCAGCTCATTAAAGGCTTTGAATGCAGATGTGAGGAATTTGGTTTTGTTCTCTGAGTAGGAAGAGTAGTGAATGGCTTAAAAGGCAAGATTATTTGTATCTAGCTTTATTGCCTGCCATTAAGTCTTTGTAAAAAAAAAAAAAAAGAGAGAGATTGATTTGCAACTTTTTGTAGTTATTTTAAGTTGCATGGCTATATTTATCAAACAATTTAAATCTGTTGAATTTTTTTAATAATTGAAAAATTTGACTCAATTTCTGATTTGAAATCCAAAGTGAGGCTATCAAGATGTTATATAGTGTTGAGTCTTCCTTTGTCTTGCCTCCATTTTCCCCTCACTGATTTAACTGAATTCCATATCTTTAATGTCTCTGTTTTCTATATCAGTAGCATAGCCCTTCTAGTTTTCCTCTCCCTCATATTATGGTCTTTATTTATTTTTTTATATATATTTTTATTGATTTTTTACAGAGAGTAAGGAAAGGGATAGAGAGTTAGAAACATCGATGAGAGAGAAACATCGATCAGCTGCCTCCTGCACACCCCCCACTGGGTATGTGCCCGCAATCAAGGTACATGCCCTTGACTAGAATAGAACCTGGGACCTTTCAGTCCGCAGGCCGACGCTCTATCCACAGAACCAAACCAGTTAGGGCTATGGTCTTTATTTTTAACCTTAATTTTTTTTCTGTTCAGTCCTTTAACCTGCCCTATGTATCCTGAACCAAGTAAAACATTTCTTGGGATGGAGGCATTGGGCTACAATGTACAAAGACAAGTAACTCTGTTTTACCATATATGTTAGGTTACATACTATCTTCTGTGTCTTTGTATGTAGCTACAAAGTTTCTATATTTTCCCTGTGGCTGATAAAGAGAGAAAGCTAAAGCAGTTTTTTAAAAAAAATATATTTTTATTGATTTCAGATAGGAAGGGAGGGGGGAGAGAGATAGAAACATCAATGATGAGAGAGAATCATTGATCAGCTGCCTCCTACATGCCCCCTACTGGGGATTGAGACTACAACCAGGCATGTGCCCTTGACCGGAATCGAACCCAGGACCCTTCAGTCCCCAGGCCACACTATCCACTGAGCCAAACCAGCTAGGACCTAAAGCAGTCTTATTCATGACAGTATTTCTACAGCATAGCAATAAAGTCCAATTTCTCTTCTAAAACCAGCTCTAAAATGGTATTTGGTATTTGTCTCAAACTCATTCTAATTCTGTTATGGTCTTTATAATTTATGTTACCTTGGGCCAATAGCAATTATAAGGATTAGGATCTTTATAATTTATTTTTAAGATCCTTAAACCCTACAGTTGCCTTTGGCTCCAAACAAGAAAATCTGGGTCAGTTAATTAAAAAAAACAACAACACCCACTTTGAGCCCAGTTGCTTTCTCCTGTGCTGTTTCAGCTCCAGCCCTACCTTATTCCCAGTGGCCTTTGCCTTCATTCCTTCTTTGCTCTGCTGGGCATCTTTAAAGGAAAACTTCACACCGACTTCCTCTACTATAAATTCTCCCTCCCCTCAATTCTACACTTCTCTTTGCCAACATACACCACCGCTTCTTCAGTGAATTTTTTTTTTTTTAAGCTCACAGCCCTTTCTGGCTCTTTTCCATCTTTAACACTCTCTTGTTGAAATCTCTTTTCCTCTCCTTTCTCTTTGGGAAGACTTCAGATTTTTAAAAGGTAATGCTTTATTTATTCTGCATGATCCACTTCTATCTTCTTTGCTCTTCTATCACCTTTTTCTTATTCTGGATTGTTTGTAAAATCTATCATGCTTGCTTTCACCAAGGCTTTGGCCTTCCCTTTGTGATTAAACAGTCTTCTAGATATAGTAAAAATACTTATGTTTCCTTATTTTTCCTATAAGAAAAAAAGTTTTCAAATTCACATCTACTTCAGTCTCTTTTTCCCACATTCTGCATCCAGACGCATGGCCATTATTGTAAAATCGACTGAAGCCTGATGTTGGGCAGGGCACTGTATAATGAACTTCATAATCTTAGTGTCAGATTCCTAAATGCTTGCCAGTAATAGAGGTTTTCATGTGTGTGAATAAATGTTCTCATGTACACACACAGACTAAAATGCACAGAAAATAGAACCATAAGTCAATATAAGTATAATATAAGTATATGAACATGGCCCTGGTTGGTGTGGCTTGGTTGGGCGTCACCCTGTACACCAAGAGGTCACCGGTATGATTCCTGGTCTGGGCATGATCCCCAGTGTGGGTCCTGCAGAAGGTAGCTGATCAGTATTTCTCTCTCTCCCTCTCCCTCTCTCTCTTAAATCAATTTTTAAAAAAAATGGTCGTGTCTGGGCCAATCTCCAGAGACGATTTAAAAAAATAAATAAAAATGAATATGTGTTTAGTATATTACATTATAATCAGACCAAATATATTTTAGGGTGAAAGATGAGGATGGGTAAATTTATAGCTAGGATAGAAGTTTAAGAGACAGCACCGTTTGGCATTCTGTATTCAGACTGGAGAAGGCTGAGAGGAGAGTCATTCCTGTGAAGATGAAGAGACTTCATGAAAGAGGCTGTGTTTCAGGAGCTGAGAGAGACTTGTAAGGCTGTGATGAATGGTAGCTGGGAGGGAGGGAGGGGCCAGAGTTTCAAGAACATACAATTGCTATACCCAAACAGCCCAGTGTTCTCTCTGGCAGAGGATATAAAAGATGCTATGGTTGTAGTTTGGATTTCAACTATAGTTAAGTTTCTATTAATAACCCATATTGAAGTTTTCCTACCCCACCTCTGGAACCATTCTCACCAAATTTTTCTGTTTTTTGGTTTTTTTTTCTGCTTGCACTCATAATTAACCACCCTCTAATTTAACTGAATTCCCTATTTGCTTTTATTTTTCCTGCCTGCTCCACAATCTGCTTATTGCAATAGTGACTTTTAAAATTCCATTTATGAGACTCTCGCTTTTATCTCATTGATAAATTGCTCTTTTCTTAAAATTATAGACTCAAACTAAATAGGCAGAATGCATCTAGTTCTCATCGCTGGAAGGTGACCGAGTAGGTTTTGCTTGATTGTCTCTCCCGAAAGGAGTGCGTTACTTCCTCCTGCAGTGGGGGCTGCCAGTTCTACTATCTAGCTTTAGTTATCTCATATTTTCCCGTAGTTTTGCTTTTTGAAACAGTATGGAAGAAATTTTTCTTTTCAGTGTGGCAGCTCTTTAAAGATTTGAAAGGGGTTTGTTTTTTGTCTGTGTATTTTTCCCCTCCAGCATGTCCAGTAGAATTTTCTGCACTGATGGAAATGTTCCCTGCCCGTCCTGTCTAATGATTAGGCACCAGCCCCTTGGAAATGTGGCTAGCATGATGTGACTACGAAACAGAATTCTAATTTTACTTAATGTTAGTTATTTAAGTTTAAATAGCCAGATGAGGTGAGTGACACTTGTGTTAGCGAGCTCTAAAAACTCTGGAACTTAGTACTTCATCACTGGCTGTCTTTTGGCTGTTCCAAAAAAATCTTATGGTCACCTCAAACACAGGAAAACACGCGAAACTGGGCTCTTGTCTGTTTGGAGGCCAGTCTTACATGTTGGCACAACCTAGAAAAAAACACAAACCTAACCTCTAGAGTCCTGATAGTGTCAGTTTTTTTTATTTCTTTATTGATTAAACTATTACATATGTGCCCTTATCTTCCCATTACCCCCCCCCCCACTCATGCCCCCACCCCCCTGTTGTCTGTGTCCATTGGTTAGGCTTATATTGATAGTGTCAGTTTTTATTGAAGCTTTCTTAGGAGGGGTAAAAGATGAAGGTTTCCTATCATCTTCCATAACTCAAAGCAAAACTTAAAAAATTCCTTATTCAATCTCTCTCTTTCCCTAAGGGAAAGAGCCTCTGAAGTTCCTCTCCATAATGGCTGCCAAATCCCTCCCTTCTCTTTTCTCTCACAAACGACTTTCCTCCTCTTTGAACCTTACTCCTCCATTCTCTGTGAGCACCACGTCTGCCCTCTTCCCTTTCGAGGAGAGCTCTTAGGTGTGTCTACAGCTCCTCTTCCCTTTTATGATCTCTGCTCAGTAAATCCAGGGAACTTCTGGACTCGTCTTTCTTGGGGGTGATTGTGGCTAGAAGGTCATAAGTAACTTCTTTTCCTTTCTCACATAACTCTTGATCTCCTTCTAGAAGTCCTCTCATTTTCTTTTCTTGTCATTGCTGAACAGTCTTCAGCATTCTTTTTGCAGAAGTTTCTCTAACATCTTTTCACTCCAGATCTATGCTTAACAGATCCTAAAACTACTTCTTCACAGTTCCTTTATCCATTTGTCTTTTAAAATTATTTTGTTTATATATTATTTTTAATAAGCTTATCACCTCTTCACCAGCCTTCTACATTGCATAGGCTGCCTCCACCCGGGGAGCAGCATTCATTTCCCACTGCTGTCCCCAGTGCCCTTTGTCCCGACTCCCTTCCCTGCTCACCATTGTTGTCCACGCATCCCTCCCAGTATTGTCTGTTCTTCTCATCTCCTCCTTGTCCATATTTATAATAACGTTCACTATTTTTAAAAGATCATTTTTGGGTTCTCATTTTTTCCAGGGGCTCTCCCCTAAGTCTCTGTCCTGTGACATAAAACTGCATGCAGCATTGATCTCTGTGGGTTGGGGGAGATGGGGTTGAGGGGCAGAATATCCTCTCAACCATGGCGCTGATGTGGGCTGGACATTCTTCTGTTGGGGCGGGATGTTTAGCAGCACCCCAGCCTCTACCCTCTAGACATCAGAGGTACCCTCTCCATTGTGACAACCCAGAATACCTCCAGACATCGCCAGATGTGCCCTGGAGGGCAGCATTTCCCCACCCTCTCCTCTTGTTGAGAACTGCTGTTCTAGAATATCACCTTTCTGAAGTTGATAGATGGTTACACTTTTTCTTCCCAATTTGTGATTTGTTTGCTTAGCCTAGATTTTTAAAAGTGTGGTCTTTGTCTTACTTGGTAGGAGGGAGCCTCTTAAAATTGCAGGTTCCCGATCTCATCCGAGGCCTACTGAATCAGAAATTCTGGAAGTGGAATTTGGAAATAAAATTTTTACAAGGCAGTACCCCAACCCCTTCCCAAACAGGTAATTCTTATGCCCTGGGCTTGACCTTCCTGTGGTATAACTGCTGCATTACCCACATTTTTTTCCTGCAGGTCTTCCTGGTTGCTCCAGCTTTGCTTCCGCTCTTGGCCTCATGATGCCAACACAAATAGGGAGGCCTCAGGTTACCCGGACAACTGGAGCACAGGAAACCGTAAAGGCGCAGCCCTCCCACAAGGAGTCAGACTGTGGCCATGCCCGCTTGCTTTCACCGAAGGGACTCACTCATACTTCCTACTCCCCGTTCTCCAACTACCCAGTATAGCAGATACCCAGGCCCAAGTCACAGACCCTGATTTTGCAGACCTGGTAGTGGAATATGGAATGAATGGGATGAAGAAAGGTGAATGGAGCTTTTTCACATTGATAGTCCCTGTTACCTTGATGATAATTGAGTTTTGTACTGGTGAGAATTAGATTCCCCTGAAAGTTGATAAGATTATGAGCTGTAGAGTCCCAGTTGCTTCATTGGACCTTGAGTCTTGGATCTCTTTGCATTCCTGGCTAGATGGTTTTACAATTGGCTTTGGGTCAAAGATTTAGCAATCTACTTCTGATACACTGGGAGCAGTGTATGTTTAGCAAGAAAAGAATAGTCAACGTATTATGAATTTGGGTTCTATTTACATTTCATTACGAAACTAGACATTTAAAGGAAGATTATCTGTTTTGAGTAAGTATTTAAACATTTGTACATCATAAGCGTCTATAGACACAAGCAGCAGAGCTTTTTTTAATTAAATTCAAAAAAATGTGGCAGTTAACTGGTTAAACCCACAAGTAAATGAAAATCTACTTGCATTTAGATGCTTAGAAACTGTTGAATTGATCCAAAACCAGAGTAGGCCACCTCCGTGGACCATGCATGGCAGGTCAGAGCGAGAGAGAATCCAGGGTGACAAGGCAGACTGGATAGCCCTTTTCAAACAGTTGAAAGACTGTCCTGTGGAAGGGTTAGATTTTTTGGTTTGGTTCCAGAGGTGGAATACAGACCTTTATTTCAGATAACAGTGATGGGGCACAGAATTTGGCTTAATAAGGAAGAACATTTAAGTAGTTAGAGGACCTCAAATTGGAATGAGCTGACATTAGGCAATGAATTACTTGTGACTGAATTGTTTATATGGAGGTTAGATTATCATTGCACAAGGTTTGGATGAGATTTTGGACATTAATTTGAGTTTGGCCTATAAAGGGAAGCAGGCAAATTTATTGGAAGTCAGTTCACCCTTTCTATTATATGATTTTGTGGCAGCTATTAACGTCATTACTATTTTCCTGGGTACCTCTCTTTGCTAATTTTACCCCTTGAGTCATTGAATATTAGAGCTGATAGTAGAGTCTTTAGAGATTTATCAAATGTTGTTCTCTAGTCCTCTGGCGATTCCTCAAGAATGCCTCAAGGGTGGCTGAGAGGTGAAATTAAGGATAGCTGGCGCTATTAGCCTGTTAGCCATGCTTCTGTGAGAACAATCTTGCCTTTAAAATTTTTTTCCAGAAAAAAAAAGAGTTCTGAAAAATACTCTTAGAGGCCCCAGTATTCCAAGTTCTTCATTTTATTGACAGGCAAACTGAGATATGGAGCAGAGAAGTGCCTTGCCAAAAGGTCACATAGCTAATAAATTTCACAGTTGGAATTCAAATCTAGCTCTTCTAATTCCAGTCATTTGTGTGTTTTTTCCCCTCTACGAGTCTACCTTCTTATAATTCAGTAAAAGTTTCTCTCCATTTCACTGGCCACAACAATAGTCCAGAATTTTATTTCTTCAGCTTTACTATTTCCTATTCGTCACTGAGCTAGTCTCCCTGTTATCCAATCTCTCCTTCTTCTGGTCTATATCATCTACACTGTTGCCATGTTATTCTTCATGAAACATAGTCTTCATCATGAGATTTCCCTGCTTAAGAACCTTCTCCATATTGCTGAAAGGAACTTTTCAGCCTGACACATTGTTAACATTCTTTAGGATCTTCATTGTTCAGCTAAGCTGAGCCCAAGTCCATCCTATTATGGGTAATTAATGGGCCATATAATAGTGAGATTAATTGAGCCCCACCCTACCTCTAGACTCCAACTTTGGCAGAATTTTTATGTGTACAGTTTTAATTAGGGATAATGAGAAGATACAAAAGAAATAGAAGACTAGAAAAAAAATAGATCTCATAAAAAGAAGTTGCATAACAATGTTTTATATAATCCTATTTGTAGTACACATACATACATAAAAAACACACAAAAATGAGGTGTATAGAAATTAGAAGAAAACACACCAAATTGATAACAGACCTTAACTTTGATGAGATGGATTGAGAAAGGAAAGAGCTTGGGGAGGAATAAAAAATATATTTTAAAAAATACTTCTTCCCAGTCTGTGGCTTGGCTTTTTATTTTTAATGATTTTTTAAAAAAATGAATATTTCAGTCTCATCATGGCTTCTTTTATATTGCCTTTTTATTTTCTTTATGGAGTCTTTTGAAGAGCATAAATTTTAAATTTTTGTGAAATCTAATTTTTTCCTTCTTTCTTTTATGGCTATTGCTTTTTTGTGCCCTGCATAAGAAATCTTTGCTTACAACAAAGTGACAAAGTTTTTCTCCTGTGTTTTTTTCTATATCTAGAAGTTTTAGCTTTTATATTTCAGTCTTTTTATGTTTATGATTCATTTTGATCATTTTCTTAACTTTCTCCTCGCAGCACAACAGGTGCAATAGGAAAAGACGAATCTGAAATGAAGATTACCTCTCTCAAAACAGACATGGTAGGATATAAACATTAGCTTTTTCTGTGTATTGTCTTCATCTACTATTTATTAAGTATTAACGATTCACTAGTAAAATATATATCTGTCACCTACTGGATCAGGTGCTGGCAATACAGTGATGAAAACACTAGACAATGTCCTTGCTCCATGGAGTTTACATTTTAATGGGAGTGGTTGTGGTTTCTTTTGTTGTTGTTTTTTAAATATATTTTATTGGGTTGTTTTTTACAGAGAGGAAGGGATAGGGATAGAGAGAAACATCAATAAGAGAGAAATATCGATCAGCTGTCTCCTGCACACTCCCCACTGGGTATGTGCCCGCAACCAACATACATGCCCTTGACTGGAATCGAACCTGGGACCCTTGAGTCCGCAGGCCGACGCTCTATCCACTGAGCCAAACTGGTTAGGGCGGGAGTGGTTGTGTTTTAGTGAACATCCCATTGTATGATTGGCAAAGTCAAGAAAATGTTATTGTGATTCCTCAATTGAAGGAAGAATTTCAGTTCCTTGGCAAACTAGTTTATCTTCCTGTATGATAGAGCAGGAAGAACCTTTTTCCACAAAGGGTCACTGATTTGTTGAGAAAAGGGACTCAGGCTACATATAGTCAGCTACAGTGCAATATGGGGAGTGGCATCATAGAACAGGGTGGAAAATCATAGTAAGTGAACTCATGCTTCTGTTACTGTTGAGGAATAGTGACCAGACTTAATGCTTTCTTCTTAAAAAAAAAATACTTTCTATTAATTTCAGAGAAGAAGGAAGAGGGAGAGAAAGATAGAAACATCAATGATGAGAGAGAATCATTGATCGGCTGCCTCCTGCACACACCTGACTGCGGATTGAGCCTGCAACCCAGGCATGTGCCCCCACCTCCTTGTTCATAGTTCGACGCTCAACCACAAAGCCACACCAGCTGGGCTCTTCTCTTTTTTTAAAAATAATCTTTCTTTCCTTTTTTTTTCAAATTAAAAGATAAAGTTTATTTTTTATTTACTTATTTATTTTTTTATTTGTTTGTTTGTTTATGTTAATCCTCACCCGAGGATATTTTTCCACTGATGCTTATTTCCACAATATCTCATATTTGCTTTTTTTAGGGAGAGTGGAAGAGAGGGAAAGACAGAGATATACGATGTAAGAGAAGAACATCGATTGGTTGCCTCCTGCACGAGCCCTGAGGGCTCAGGCGGGGAGGTGGGGGAGAGCCTGCAACCAAGGTATATGCCCTTGGAATCGAACCCAGGACCCTTTGATCCGCAGGCTGTCACTCTGTCCATTGAGCCAAACTGGCTAGGGCAATACTCTCTTCTTTAATTAAGCAAAAACAATTTGTTTTTTGTTTCAGTCCCATTTTTTTTTAAAATATATTTTATTGATATTTTACAGAGAGGAAGGGAGAGGGATAGAGAGTTAGAAACATCGATGAAAGAGAAAAGTTGATCAGCTGCCTCCTGCACACCCCCCACTGGGGATGTGCCCGCAACCAAGGTACATGCCCTTGCCTGGAATCGAACTTGGGACCATTCAGTCTGCGGGCCGACACTCTATCCACTGAGCCAACCTGGTTAGGGCTCAGTCCCATTTTTGATATTTTTTTTTTTTTTTTGCCAAAGGAGTTCACTGATAGTATCTTCAGAGAACTGCTAGACCTCGTTTCTGGTGGCCAGAGCACCAGGTATCTCTATAGGTAACCATTCACATTTTCTTTAAAACAAGTCATGCTCTGTGTTAATGATACCACCTTTCTTCAAGCCACTTCAAGTGTCAGTAATAAGTGCTATTTACTATCAATATTTATAAACCAGTATTAATATTAAGTAACTAGGTAAATGATGTTAATTCAAAGCAGGGTAAAGCCACTATAGCCCAGGTGACTTTCATAGAAGAAATAAAGCTTGAACTAATTCTGAGAGGATTTTAGTAGATACAAATAAAGAGGGCAGATTAATTTGGATTGATGGATTTGAGGAAGAAGAAATTTACGATTGTTCATGGTGTGGCTCCCCTATCATCTATCCAGAGCAGACATTATTAATCGATCATGCACTCATTCTTGCTGAGCGTGGGCACAGACTGGTAAGCCTGGAACTAGATGGGGGGTGGGGGGGTGGGAATGTAGATTTTAATGGAGAGATATTTTGAAAGAGGCATCAGTGAGACTTCTTGAAAACGTCTGACCCTGGCAGTCAAGATGTGGGGCATTTTCATGTGCAACGGGGAAGCCCTTGGTGCAGAGACTACAGGAACAGTTTCTGTTGCATATGTGCTCAGTACACAGACATCGGAGGGGTGTGATAGGCATTACAACCAGACTCAGAAAAAGAATGCCAGGGGAAGACAGTGCAATGGATTCTGCCACAGGGCACCACTCGGGGATCCTAGAGTTATACCAGCTACAGAGTTGGGCCATGATCGCCAGCAGTGTAAGCAGCAAACAGGGCGAAGAAACATTGCCCTGGGTATAGGAGGCCAGAGGACCACTTGCTCAAGTTCACCTCTTTCCTGCTGCTGCAGAGTCCCCTTTCCCTCGTACATGCAGATCCGTCTCAGGCAGAGAAGCAGGGGAGAGGCGGCTATCTGAGAGACCAAGCAATTTTTATTCAAGAGAGTCAAGCAGTGCCTTAAAGACTGTCTAAATCAGGGGTCCTCAAACTACGGCCCACGGGCCACATGCAAATACAAATAAGGTATGTGCAGTGTGCATAGGAATTTGTTCATAGTTTTTTTTTAAACTATAGTCCGGCCCTCCAACAGTCTGAGGGACAGTGAACTGGCTCCCTGTTTAAAAAGTTTGGCCCTAGCCGGTTTGGCTCGGTGAATAGAGCGTCAGCCTGCAGACTGAAGGGTCCCAGGTTCGATTCTGGTCAAGGGCACATGCCTGGGTTGTGGGCTCGATCCCCAGTGGGGGGCGTGCAGGAGGCAGCCAATCAATGATTCTCTCTCATCATTGATGTTTCTATCTCTCTCTCCCTTTTCCTTCCTCCCTGAAATCAATAAAAATATTTTTAAAAAAGTTTGAGGACCCTTGGTCTAAATGATCAGGTCAGACTATGTTAAACTGATCTGAGGACTTCTGAAAGGTGTGGGATCCCAGCTGTGAAGATGTAGTAGACCTTTAGGTGAGTAGCGTGTACCAGTTAACTCATACCATCTCTGATGAGGTAAGGCAGGAATGGTGCAGGCCTGTGTCCCTGTTCCCATCTGAGGTAAGTTAGGATAGATGCCAGAGGCATGTGGCCTGGCTGAGCAGGTAGCTCAGTGCATGCAGCTGCAGGGAGCTGCTTACTCATGTGTACCTGCCTCAGCACCAAGTGTCCCAGCACCAGCTGCACCCGTTGCCAAGGAAGAACCATGTGGTTGAAACCCATCCATGATACCTGACCCTGTCAAGCCTGTGAGGACAGATTCTTGTGGTCTGCTATTTCTGTCAGCGCCCACCTTTAAAAAAAAACTTCTTCATTAAATTTTGAGAGAAAGAAACATTGATGTGAGAGAGAAACATCGATCAGTTGCCTCCCACATGTGCCAGCAACTTGGGTATGTGCCCTGACCAAGAGTGGGACACGCCACCTTTTGACGAATGGGACAATGCTCCAATGAACTGAGTCACACCGGCCGGGGCTGTCGGCACCTACCGTTTATTTCTCCTCATCTGGAGCTTTCTACCATACGCTTTTCTCCTTGCCAGGATTAGTCAGAAATTAGCCCATAATTGCTGTCTTCCTATTCCCAAAATCTGTGACCTTTATGTTCTGGGTACTGGATGCAAGGGATGCCTCTTGCCCTGATCTTATTTCAGGACCTCTGACTAATATACCCTGAGTGTAAAGAATGAATTTGCAAGCCCAGTGGCGTCTTGCAATTCCTACATCGGAGAAGCTTAAGGGCAGAAATCTGACTGGAAGGGGAGGGAGGCAGATTAGTTTTGAAGGTGAGTCCACAGAGTAATGTGATTTGCTGACAAGGACTGACCACCAGAAAAGTAAAAAATATGTGATTAATAAAAATATGTACTTTGTTGCCTGACCGGTGTGGTTCAGTTGTTGAGCGTCGACCTAGGAACCAAGAGGTTACAGTTCGATTCCTGGTCAGGGCACATGTGCAGGTTTCTGGCTCGATCCCCAGTGGGGGTCATGCAGGAGGCAGTTGATTAATGATGTTTGTCTTCCATCGATGTTTCTATCGCTATATCCCTAAAAATCCTCTCTCTCTAAAAATCAATAAAAAACATATTTAGAAGAAAATATGTACTTTATTCATATAAGTGAGCTTTGTAAATGTGGAATCTAGGACCTTTTAAAGAATCTTCTATTGGCTAATTATTTCATTTAGTTTCTTGCATCCCCAAACAAGGTATGACACCATTAACCTGACCACTTTAGACACGTGCTTTGCTCACTATTTATTTATGTATTTTTATTTGGTTTATTTTATGGGGAGGGGAAGGAGTTCACTGCCATCGATGCCCACAACTCTTCCTCAGATGCTCCAAGCAGTCTTTCCCTTTGTGAGCTGTACTGTAAAATCCTATCATTGCTGTTGGGCAACATCAAAATACCTCATATATGTAGCAATGACAGCGCACATGC